GGGGGGGGGGGGGGGGGTAAGGTGTACTGTATCGGCTTTAGGCTGGGCGGCCGTGCTAGGGCCGATCTCCGAGCCTCACGATCGCGACCCAGCCAATCGCGGTGCCACTTACATCCAGCGATATCATGGACATGTTCGACGCAGGGGCGCCCGCCTCAGCAGCTGCTCCAGTGTCAATCTTCGGGGTGCCTCCGTCAGAGCCGGTAGTGAGCGAGCCCGCGCACGCCGCGCCCGCCCCGGAGATCCAGCCGGCCGCTCCTGTGGCCGCGCAGGTCCCGCCCGTGGTCGAGCAGGCTGCCGCCGTGGTGGCTGCGCAGCCCGCCCCGTGGTCGCGCAGCCCGCCCCGGTGGTCGCGCAACCCGCCCCCGTGGCCCCACGCCGGTGGCAGCGCCGCCGGTCAGCACCCCCGCCAAGGTGCCCCCAGCGCGGCCACCCCCAGCACTACCGCCCCCGAGACCTGCACCGCCCGCCAAAGTACCGTCTCCGGTCGTGACGCCCACCGCGCCGCCCCCAGCCCCGGCGAGGGCCACCCCCGACACTGCCGCTCCCCCTCTGCCGCCAGCCCCGGAGGTCCCGGCGAGGACGCCGAGTGCGGCGACCACGCCGACACGGCCGGAACTGCCCCCTCCTCCCACATTCACCCCCGCACCAGCCCCCGAGCCTGTACCGCAGCACGACCAGAGCGACCTGTTCGGCGTGCCCACCGCCAACGGCGGGCCCAAGAAGACGGCCGAGATCATGAACCTCTTCGGCTCGCACACGGCGGCGGTCAATGCGCTCAACTCTGCCCCGTCAGCTCCACCCGCGAACGACTACTTCGGGGGCGGCGGGGGCTTTCGGGGCGAGCCGTCTGCTAAAAACAAACAGAAAAAAAACAGGGAATGTCGAAAAATTGAGAAAAAAGAAAAACCGGTGTACGCTTGAATTTAAAGTAAAGTACCCCTCGGGACAGCCCCGTCGTCGCCCCCGCCCGCCCACTTGCATGCACTAACCACTAACACGACTCTCCAGGTTCAAGCCGCCAGACGCGTGCTACATCGAGCTGATGCGCTTCAGGGTGCGCCCGCCCAGGAACAGGGAGCTGCCCCTGCAGCTCAAGACCACCATGTGTGTCACGGGCAACAAGGTACGTCCGGCGTGGGGACTACTAAACGCATGGGGTGCTTTGAGACGCTCACGGCTTCTTGTCGGGCAGCTTTAACAAAGGTTTCCTTCACTTTACGGCACACTCGACACACAAGCTGTCCCCCACTCTGACCGCCCCCCTCGCGGCTGTCCGCAGGTCGAGCTCCGGGCGAACGTCCTAGTTCCAGGATTCTCCAGCCGGAAGTACGGACAAATTCCCTGCGAAGACATCTCCATTCGCTTCCTGATTCCGGAGTGCTGGATATACCTGTTCCGGGTAGAGAAGCACTTCCGCTACGGGTCCGTGGTCCGTCAAGTCCACCCACCGAAGGTACGTCATACTGCAGGCGCAGGCAGCGGACTCCAAGGAAGTTTGCCCCCCAGAAATTAATTTACTAAAAAATCGATGAAATTTTTCAAGAAAATATTTGAAGATTCAAAGAAATGTTGAGGTTTTTAAACATAACCATTGACAAGTTTTTAAATACTCAATACACTTAATAATACAACTGCATTTCAATGGTCCCCTTTAATTTTCAATTAGAAATTTTAGTCTATACGTGTTCAGCACTTGTCTTGAACGTGACCTCCGATGTCCGCAGAGCCGGCAAGGTGAAGGGCATCGAGCGCTTCCTCGGCACCGTGGACACCATGGAGCCGTCGCTTCTCGAGGTCACCTCCGGCCAGGCCAAGTACGAGCACCAGCACCGGTCCATCGTGTGGAGGGTGGCTCGCCTGCCCAAGGAGGGTCAAGGTAAGTAGTGCGGGCTGCAGCTGGTGCGTCGTCCCGGCCCTTCCCTAACCACCTGACGTCTCTCCATCTGCAGGTGCCTACACGACGCACACCCGTATCTTTGCGTTCATTTTGGCGATACCCGACTCTGGTGTCAGCGCCGCAGGCCTAGCTAGATGTATGCCAGGCGCGTCGCAGCGCAACAGTGTTTCGTGAGATATCGCGAAGCCTGTTACGCGAGACGTGGTCTGGCGTACATCTACCTAGTTTAAAAATCAATAACCACAGGTAACAAACTATTATTATTTTTCAAATATTTTTTTTTGGTCTCCTGAAGGGCAACTCGTTAAAGTAGAAATCTTTGGGCGAAAATTTCGTCCGTTTTGCTCTATCTTGTACCGTTTCGACGCTATGAGGCATTTCTTGGCGAAAAAAAAACGCGAAAAAGACAAAATGGTCCATTAAATCGTAAAAAAGGGTTCATGTCAGAGAATTGTAAAGGGAGTTATACTTAAACCACACAATATGGGTCGAACCACACCCTCTCTTAGGCTTAAGGGTTAGGTCGTTCCATTTTCGGTGTCGAGAACACCGATCTGTCCAGAACGCAGGTAAAATGAAAGTATACGTTGTGGAGGTTACAACAATGCTAAGCGGAGGTAGCTGCGATGTCGGGAACCATGCGCAAGAACGAATTTTATGTCTTTGTCACTTTCGCGCCAATTTTCCCTCACGGTGGTTTTTCGCGTGCCCCGCCGCAGCCACGCGGCCGAGGCCGGGGACCTGCCGTGCACGGACACCCTAGGGTAGGTACTTGAAGTTTGTCATGTCGCCGGTACCGCGCGGCATCACGTTACGCTGGGCGTAGCGCTTAAGTGAAAACCAGTATTTTCGCTGCAGCGGTCCACATATTCAGCGAATGGCGACCGGGTTTGTGCGAGAACGTAGCAAATATTCTGTGTTATGGATGGCCCAACGCTAATCTATAACATTTACTGGCACCATAGGCAAAAGTCAAAAAAACGCGTTTTGCGGCAATTCCGCCTGTCAACTAGGCAACCTGCCGTCTGCATGTGTGTACAGATGTTGCCTAGTTGACAGGCGGAATAGGGTGTTCCAGGCGATCTAAAACGGAAGTAGGAAAAGAACGAACTCACTGACCTCTCTGTTTCCGTAATGGCTCTGATTGGTCGAGCTTATCACGTGCCTCCGAGGTCTTTCAGGTATGAGAAACTGTCAGATCAGTTTCAAGCTCCCCTCCATATTTGAGAGGTTAGGATTGGACCAAACTGCCATGGTAGTTTCTCATACTGGGCGGACGGAAACAGATAAATCAGTGAGTTTGTTCTTTTTCACTTCCGTTTTAGATAGCCTGGAACACCCTATTGCCGCGAAACGTGTTTTTTTGACTTTTGCCTATGATGCCCGTAAATGTTATAGATTAGCGTTGGGCCATCCATAACAGTGAATATTTGCTACGTTCTCGCACAAACCAGGTCGCCATTCGCTGAATATGTGGACCGCTGAAGCGAAAATACTGGTTTTCACTTAAGCGTTACGCCATGGTTACGCCCACCGTAACGTGATGCCGCGCGGTACTGGCGACATGACTTACTTCAAGTACCTACCCTAGTGTGTCCGTGCACGGCAGGTCCCCGGCCTCGGCCGCGTGGCCACGGCGCGGCACGCGAAAAACCACCGTGAGGGAAAATTGGCGCGAAAGTGACAAAGACATAAAATTCGTTCTTGCGCATGGTTCCCGACATCGCAGCCACCTCCGCTTAGCATTGTTGTAACCTCCACAACGTATACTTTCATTTTACCTGCGTTCTGGCATACCGATTTTAAAATGGAACGCCCTATTAAGGGTCCCTAGATTATCTAGTATCTCTAAAACGTAGATTTTTACATAACAATCTGACAAAATTCGAACTTTTCATGAAAACCGTTACCGAACAGTAAATGTTTAATCTCCCTTATTTTAGAGTAATACGACCCCGACAATAGTTCGACAATGTCAAATTTTGGGCTCGAAAGGCCCTTTTCCCCTATACCCTCTCCGTAATGCGTCTCGGGTGTCAGCGCCGCAGGCCTAGCTATATGTGCGCAAGGCGCGTCGCAGCGCAACAGTGTTTCGTGAGATATCGCGAAGCCTGTTACGCGAGACGTGGTCTGGCGTACACATAGCTAGTTTAAAACAAACGATGTGTACTTTTGGGTTAGCGATTAGCGAAGCCCATTACTCCACTGACCGGAAAAGTTTCATTCTGTTTGTTTGTTTGTATGTTTATTTGTCTGTCTGTCCGCACGATAACTCGAGATTAAATTGAGAGAGTGATCTGGGAGTTTCAGGGTCGTTTTGTATCATAAAAAGACAGATCGAGTTCGAAGATGAGCATTGCAGCTCAAAAGTTGACTTTTATAAAATCAAAAACCACGGGTCGCAAAATATAATTTTTTTTTTTTTATGGGCTTCTTAAGGGGAACTCGTGAAAGTAGAATCCTTCGCTCGAAAATTTCGTCCGTTTTGCTCTCTCTTGTACCGTTTCGGCGCTATGAGGCATCTCTTGGCGAAAACAACGTGAAAAAGACAAAATTGTCTATTTAATCGTTAAAAAGGCTTTGTGTCACAGACTTGTAAAGGGAGTAATACTTAAACCACATATTACGGGTCGAACCGCACCCTATTTCGGGCTTGAGGGTCCTAAGTTTATCTAGTATCACTAAAACGTTCATTTTTACATAACAATCTGTCAAAATTCGAACTTTCAATGAAAACCGTTACCGAACAGCAGAAGTTTCATGTCCCTAATTTTAGAGTGAGACCCCCAGAAATGGTTCGAGTATGTCAAATTTTGGGCCCAGAAGGCCCTGCTCTCCTATACCCTTCCATTTGCTCGCCTCGGGTGTCAGCGCCGCAGCCCTAGCTATATGTGTGCCAGGCGCGTCGCAGCGAAACAGTGTTTCGTGAGATATCGCGAAGCCTGTTACGCGAGACGTGGTCTGGCGTACATAGAGCTAGTAATCCCATGTTGTAAAACATAAAACCTGAAATACAACCTGAAATTAACTGGATTTGAACTTCATCACTGGCGAAGATTTATTTTGCTCCAATTTCGCATCAAAGTTGACTGTGTGTGAGGTTGCTGTAATCAAATAAAATACAATCAATGTCACTACAAATAGTTTTAATGATAGATAATAAAGAAAAAAAGATTCCTTACCGTCAAACAAAACAGCTTTGCTTTCTGCAAAATCGTCACTATCGACGATCTTGCTTTGAAAATTTGCACCTTCTTTTCCTACATTAATTACATACCACGCTTCCTTTTTCACAGCTCAAGCAAATTCCTTGCAATCCTCTTCGTCTTTGAAATCAGATTGAAACGTCTTGTCTGGCCAATACACGAGGGACGAGGGGTGGATAACTCCTGAATTGGGTGTACAAATTTCAAAAATTGAATTTGAATTAGCTTGAATTGGCTTGAATTGAATTTGAATTGGACTGAATTGGTTGAATTGTTTTTGAATTAGATTGAATTGGTCTGAATTAGTTTGAATTGGGCAAAATTAGAGGTGTACATTTGGCAGGGGAGTTATCCACCCCTCGCCAATACATCAAATTGAATCTAGGCTTGTAATCCATGTACACAACAGTTGACTGTTCTGAATCAGATTTTGTGTACTTCTGACAGTCGATGATTTTGAAGCCAGCATTTACAGGAAGCATATGAGTCTTAACATAACAGCTCTTAACAGTGCGTTTCTTCAACTTTGCCCTAAATGATTCCATCTGAAACAAAAATATTAATATTAATAACGAGGGGTGAACCACTCAAACTTTTGGTGTACATGGATTATATTCCATTTGGAATATTTGGAATATCTGGAATATCTGGAATATTTCGGAATATCGGGAATATCCGGAATATCTGGAATATGACGGAATATTTTGGAATATCTGGAATATGACGGAATATTTTGGAATATCT